AATGTAAACTGCTGTATATGATGAGCTTAATGTACATGTACAGGTTGCTTTGTTTCTGTTTACATGTATGTTTTGGATTAATCTTTTTTCCTTGTGTGTGTGTGTGTGTGACTCTCTCTCTCTCTCTCTCTCTCTCTCTCTCTGCTCTCTCTCTCTCTCTCTCTCTCTCTCTCTCTCTCTCTCTCTCTCTCTCTCTCTCTCTCTCTCTCAAGGTTCTCGTTATGGTGTCACAGAGATAACCGAAGAATTTTTAACTTTCTTGTCTCATGCAACTGAGGTACGTACATTCAGTTATGCATGTACAATGTACATGTACTACATGGTTTAAGTCAAATAATTTCACTTCCTGATGCATGCATATATTTGTGAACTGATTTTTAATTGTCACTGCATATATGTACAATGTACATGTATTATTGAATTACAAGTTTTGAAAACTTTGTTTTGAGACCATAAAATTATTGTCTTGTGAATAATTCCGTGTCCCTGTCCTATGCTATGAGCGAGTTAAAGCTTTTTTGATCATGTACAATACATGTACATGTATAACGTACCGTATTTTACTGCCTTTATTATTCAATTTTTTAATTTTTAAGTGTTTTTAATTTTACAGTTTACATGTGAGCTACTATAAATTAATAGATTAAAATATTCCACTTTTACGGTGCTATAGTTCTTTTTTTCTAAAATAGCATGTCCCTCATAATATCCATTCACACTAAGCATCTAATAGTAAGGATATGGAACTGATATAATGGATACACATGCTCATTGTTAATTCTTATTATTTTTATATTTTTAGGAGAGACTAAGGAATTTAGTAGAACAGGTAACTGTAATCAGTCAACACAGAACTGAGCTACTGAAGGTTTGTTCAAACTCTACATGTACATGTACATGTACTTTGTGACACATATCAATTTGTTAAGTTTTGTTGCTGTGTAGAAATTTTGATTGATTCTGATTAAAAGTGGATTTTGTTATGAGAATTAGTATTTTTAAAGTTGCTCCGAAATCTTACTAAGGTCCCTGTACTAGCCACATTTCACCAAAAATGATTTTTTTGTAATTGTCTATTGTAATGATTTTTTCTGATATGTACATGTATATGCATGTGTTTATGTTGTGTAGAAAGTTCAAGCTGATTTTGAGAATTTTTACAATTTTTAATTTCCTCCAAAATCAGGCTAAAGTACCTATACTGTTAATACATGGTCATTAGTCAAATTTATCACAAAAGAAAAAGAGAGAATTCTCTATTTTTTATATTTTATCCTGACGTGTATGTATACATGTACATTGTATCTATTTATGTTGTGTAGAAATTTTGAACTGATTAAGACTAGAATTGGATTTTTTAATGAATTTTTAATAGTTGCTTCAAAATAATTTTGTCAAAAATGAATAGGAACAAATTCTTCATGCTTATAATTTTTTACAACCTGGGGGCATAGCCCCCAGGTCATCTTATAATTGATTTCACCCATGTGCGATACATATTTGTATGTCAACACTTACATTTCTTTTATACACGTTGTATTGGAGAAGAACAAGCCTTAGCAACCATCCACCCACGCTACTTTACGTAGTGGGTGTGGCCACAGCAAGCAAAATGGTGGCTTACACATGGGACAAAGCTATGAACTCTCTAAAAGCAAGAGAAAATAAAAATACTGTCTAAAGACTTCTCTGGAAGTGTTAGAAGGTAGAGAAAACCTCTATAAGTCTTAATAAGTTCCCAGCTATACATGCAAGGTGGTGAAAACAATTATAGGAATTTTTTACACTGTTACGCTTGTTTCATAGACATGCATGTTTATAAGTTGCATAGAAAGTTTGAGCTGTCTCTGATCAAAATTGGATTTTTTTATGTATTTTTAAAATTCCTCCCGAATCCAACCAAAGTCTCTGTTTTATAGTACAGGTGGTCAAATTTGTCAAAAATTACTACGAGACGGAACATGTACATGTACATGTACTGTATTTCTAGAGACTGCTTACTTATAATGTTGCTTGTGTTCCAATGTAATACATGTAATATATACAGTACTACTGTGTGTTTGTTTTGTGGAGTATTGTGTGACTAGGTGTTGTACGGCTTTTATTGAACTATAGCCTTGTTCGTACTCAGTGTTAGATCTAGAAATTAATTTTTAGAGACCAAAAGCTAAAAATGAATGTACATGTATGTGAGGAAACTTAGACCAATATTGGGAGACTGAAAGCCACCTAAACTCCTTCTAGATCTTACAGTATTTAACTATGATTATTCTCTGAACACATGTGTATTAGTATTATTAATTAATTATTATTATTCTCGTACTATAGGGTAACAGTCGCTATGAGCCAGCTACTGATGTGAGGGCTCAGCTAAAAGTCCTGGAGCGTATTGATGAAGTGAGTGCCACAAGGAAACAAGAAAGAGAGAAAGAAAAGATTATCCGTGCTGCAAAAAGTCGCTCAAAACAAGATGATCCAGAGCTAGCCAAGATGAAGGAACAAGCCAAGCAAGTTAGTATTGATTTGATAAAGCATTCTGTTAATTATTATTGATCTATTATGATTATCATTATTATTACTATTATTATTACTGCTACTGTTGTTATTGGTCTACATTGTACAATAGATCCAAATAGCAGAGGAGAGAGAGATACACCAGAAAGCAGCTAATGTACAAGCACTGGCTGCTATTGGAAGGAGAAAGAGAACAGCCACTACTGCTTTTGGAGGAGAGAGCTCTTCAGTAAGTCTCTTTTCCTTATCTCTCACACCCTACATTAATCACACACACACACACAACACACACACACACACTATAACATGTAATACTACGTTAACACTACAGAAGTGGGCCAAACCATGCTGAACTAGGCTGAGCTGGCCCTTTAATACTACGTTTACACTACAGAAGTGGGGCAAACTGTGCGGAACCAGGTTGAGCTGGCCCTGCTGTACTAATACTATGTTTACACTGGCTTCTTTAACTGAGCCAGCCCTGTTTAAAGTTGGCCAGCACAGTTTCATGTGATTGGGGTGAGCCTGACAAGCCCCACTAAGGTAAGAAAGCGTCTGTATATACGTACAGGCATGATAGGGTCGTCTAACTATTATTAAAGTTAAATAGCATAATCTTCATTGAAAGCGGGTGGTCACAATGAATGAAATGGCGGCTATCAGCAAGTCTGAGCTTATTTCCAGCAAATGGTCAGCAAGATAAGACTAAATTGCTGTCTAAACACTTGTCTAGCAAAAAGGAAGGTTAGAAAGCAGATATAGAATCTTTTTTCTTGATATAAAAGACTCTGATAAGTTGAATGCAAGTGAGAAAGCCTGGAGCTAGCCTAACTGCATGCATCATGAGATCTATTGTAGGTGATATTTCTTCTCTAGCAGTAAGCCTAGGTTAACAAAACAGATGTACAATCTTCTTCAAATATGATTTTTTCAGTGACTGCTTCTAACAATCTTTTATGCCAGGCTATTAGCAGGATAACTTTAATTGCTGCAGAGGTTCTTAGTGATGAAATCAGTCATAGCGAAAATTCCTATTTTTAAGCAACAAATGATGCTTAGATCAGACTACAGTATGAACAAGCAAAGCAATACAGTACCACTGTATCGCTTTGCTTGCTCATAAATCAAGATCATACAGCACATTCACCAATGGCTTGCTTAGGCTCACTCCCTTAATGTTCTACATTACTCCTAGTAGTGTAAACAGTAACCAAGCTGAACTGAAGTGGTCAAACCAGCCCAGCATGGTTAGTACAGCATGGTTTGGCCCACTTCTGTAGTGTAAACGTTATACCCTGTTCACACTACCCTTCAGAACTGTACTGGGCCAAACCAGGTCAGCATGGTTTGTACAGCAGGGCCAGCTCAACCTGGTTCCACAAGGTTTGGCCCACTTCTGTAGTGTAAACGTTATACCCTGTTCACACTACCCTTCAGAACTGTACTGGGCCAAACCAGGTCAGCATGGTTTGTACAGCAGGGCCAGCTCAACCTGGTTCCACAAGGTTTGGCCCACTTCTGTAGTGTAAACGTAGTATGTAGTATAGTGTGTTTGTGTGTGTGTGTGTGTGTGTGTGCGTGCATGCATGCATGCATGCGTGTGTGTGTGAGATAATGAATTGCATGTGATGTGCATATGTGAACCAGAATGCATAATGTCACATGATAGCATGTACATGTACATGTATATCTATTATCTACACAATTAAAATTATCAGCTCAATTTTTTTCTAGGCAAGCCCTAGTGCTGGAAATGCGTCCATAGCTTCTGTATTCAACTCACCTGTAAGGAGAGAGAGTGATGAGGAGTGAGAGAGAATGGGGCATATGTGCTTCATTATTAGCACAAACCTAGAGACAGTGTGGTAGAGAGATGAGGGTGAGATTGAGAGAGGGGTTGGGTGGAATGGATATGGTGTCATGGTGTGTCCCTGAGAGGGTGAGCAACCAGTAACAGTTTCTTGTTTCTTTAGTCGACTTCAAGAACTAACAGACCGAAACAGCGTAGGATTTTATCTAAAGATATCATTATGTCCATGGAGCAATGTCGTGAAACCAGACACTCACAGATACTTTATAAATCACTCTTATAATTAATGCCTGCATTGTTTGTTTAATTAATATTTAATTTCATTGGATCTTGATTGATTGTGGATTAATGGTCCCTGATTAATGGGAGGGTCTCACGTACCACCAAACAGTAATAATATCACTGATGTGCACAACACAGTCTCAGTTCAATTATTTTATTTCTATTTTGTTTTCTTTTGCTTCAAAACTTTTCTTGTAATAGTTATTATTATAATTTATCTTTAATTGTTCTCACCTTTCTATAATTATTCATTAGTGAGTGGGCGGACCGGGAATTCGCCAGTTTGCCTTTATTAACAAGAGGAGAGTATCTACTCTTGCTATTAAGAATCACTACCTCGGTTCATCTTTCTGCTGCAGTCTTTGAAAAGATTCTTTCATGGCCAGTAGTAGTTATATGCGTCTTAAAATAGCTCTTGAAAATGATGTTGACGGTAAGCCGATTATTGTTACCCAGCCATTCAATTTTGATTCAAGGTAGTTTGAGTCTTGAGAGGAAATTTTTCCTTGAGCAATGCAAGAAAATTACTCAATGACATTAAGGAAAAGTTTTATGGGTTTGACTATTGAGTAATATTCTAAAGAAAGGACATTGCTCCCCATGCATGGGACTAGGGCCTGTCTTGTTGAGGCTCACCTCAAAATGTAATGCTTTTTTTTATCAGCCTA